CGACTATCAGCTCCAAATCGTTGCAGGGGAAGAATTATTCTTCACGTGCAAACGATCTGATTGGTTGGCATCGACCAATCAGCGAGCGAGGTTTGGGGAGACTTAAGAAAGCTCCTGTGAGCCGCTTCTCCCAAAAAGTGCACAAAATTGTCTACTTAAAAATAGAGCGATTACAAAATTGTCACATTACTGCGATTTGTAAATTGCCTGTAGTAATGTAGTGGTGATTTATTAACCAAACAATGCTTGGCGTTGTATGTGATTTGTATTTTTGTATGTATGTATGTTGGTGGGTAATAGATCCGTACAACACAGCTATTTACTCCTATCTTAGTACAAATTCCAACAGATCTGACGAAGTAAAACTGGCAACTGCTCCTGAAAAGAATCTCTAATCAGTTGTTAATTGAAACAAGGAATGGCTTGTAAATTTTAATCCCTCCAAAATAATTTTCATTTAATCACCACCGAGAAACTTTTCTGTCTGCCATTGGCACGGCTGATGCTAACCTCCAGGAGAGCAAAACTTTGAGCCTTCTTAGGCTCACGTTTTCCACTAACATGAAATGGAGTGATTATACTGAATCAATTGCTACATCTACTGATAGGAAAGTTGGCGCAGTGCGTCGTACAAGACAATTGTTCTCGTCAGTATCCATCTTGAATATTTGTAAATCTACTTTTCATTTATGCAGGGAATACTACCGCCACATCTGATCTGGTGCTCCTACAATATATCTATAGATTCTTGACGAACGTAATGTAATTAATCCTGACCTGGCATCTCGACATCAGTGACTTTCTCACCGACGTGATGTGGTCTCCCACCGTCTTTTCTTTGATCTGTAGTTAACCCCATAATGTAATGGTCGCTTTGCAACAGATTTTTCAGAAGATAACAGTAGAAAGTGTGGGTCTGTATATATCGGTCACGCATCCTTATCCCTACTTGAAAGCAACAAACGAATATTCTTATAGATAATCTAGTATCTCAATAGTAATAATGATCTAACATTGCTTTTACTTCTTTTATTTCATGAATATTGCTGCCATGACTGGTCTAGTGCTTCTACTATTTATCTCTAGATTCTTGACAAAATCCAAAGAATGATCTGTAATGTAATATATTGGCACCTGGCTTCAGTCACTTTCCGACAGATGTGACGTCGCTTCGCTCTGTCTTTTCTACAAATATTTTTATGGCAATTATTCTGATGAGCTTTCCTTCTTGGTGTGTTGACTGCGTGAATTTGAGCATCCTACTAGATTGGCAAGTAGGTCTCATCGTTTATTGTTGAAATAGATGTAACCGCCTGTTTTATTGTAATTTTCTTTTCTCGGGCTTCTTGTCTGTAGAAATCCCATTGGATTTCTTGCTTCGCTGTCACCTACAATCTTCAAGAATTTAAATACATCAGTCAGCATCTTCTGTCTTCCTCGTTCTTCCTGTTCCTTTAATGTCGTTGTCATCATTTTCTCTCACTAAAATCTTATTATCTTTCACTCATCGTAACCTTAGTGCCATTATCGCTTTGCTCGTTGTGGAATGATTAAAAACAAGTAACGTGCCAATTTTAGAGGTAACTGAATATCAGCAGTAGTAATTTCCATTATACTACAACCACAGCATCTTCCCCTCCTCTGCCAGTCCCTTCGGAAGAATTCAGGAGACCCCCCACCTCAGTTGGACATCTGTTCATAGGAACAAGGGACACAAAGGGTTGAAAAGTGGGTCGCAAGGCGTAGCGTTGAGTCGTACGTATTGCCACACAGAACTACGGTATTCACTATTATTGTATTATTAATGTGTGTCTCTTATGTGATTAAACCTTTTCTTCATTAATCTTTGTTCCAGTGTTTTTCTGACAATATTATTAAACAGGAACTACGTGCTTATACGAGCATTATAACAATACATAATAAGAAAAGAGGGCTTGGGAAATTAGATACACACAGGACAGAATGAAAGCAAGAGGGACAAAGGAAAACAACGCATAACCTGCATAGAGAGCTTCAGTAAATATATGGCAGAGCAAGATTTAAGAGAGATAACAAAAAGAAAAAGAGCTACAACGTACAGGAAATTGTGGAGAGCTATGATCGCCTACGCTCTGAAGGTACACGGCGCATATAATAATAATAATAATAATAATAATAATAATAATAATAATAATGTATTTTTGGATGTCGTTAAAATCAGCGCGTGAAATCGTCCAAGTTATTCTGATGCATTTTTGCGGCTAGGAATAAAACCACTAAAAATGCGACGAATTTTATTTTCCAAGAACATTATAATTATTTTTGAAGAACGTGAAATGGTGACCAGGGCATTGTTTATTTTGACTGTGGGAATTTAGATAAAAATAAAATGAGACAAAAAATGTAACTATCTGAATCTACTTGTTAAGTCTATTTGTGCAGTCTTTTGCCATAAGGAGGTTTTCGACTGTTACGTGCTCTCAGAATAAAAATCTAAAGTATTTATATCTTAGCTGTGAACGATTTAAAAGATTAAAGAGGAAATATTTACGCTAAAATCTCCAGCTTTTATCGGCCAAAGGCGAAATTCTGTAGGATGATAACGATGATGAAAATCCAATCACACATTCAGTTAAATAAACTCATGAGGACAATTCAGAATTCCATATTTTGCTACAACTATTTTCATTTCACTCATTGTATGTCTTAAGTTTCTTCTTTTTTATTATTATTCAGATCTGTAGAATGCATTGAAAAGAAGAAAACCACTGAAAATACGCAACAGATCAATTAAACTATAAAGAGATTATTCAAATATCTGATTGTTGTGGTAGGATCCACCTAATTTACATAGTGGATTACCGACCATATAAATATGGTTGGTACCGGGAAGACGAGGGAAGGAATCAAGAGATTCAATCCAGAGACTCTGCCCGACTGCGACTAAGTCAACACATTCTCCAGGAACGGTCTTCCCAAGAATATACAAAAGACTATATGTAAATATTGTGTACACTTTCTTGTTTCAATACATTTTGTTCTAAGTACATTTTGTGTTGTATTATTATTCTATGCATTAGTCAAGTTTCAACACTGATCAAACCGGGAAATGTTCACATCTGATAAAGCAAAAAGGCTCAGGCAAAAATTGCCCATAGACTCCGTATACACGGGATCGGGTAGCTGTCTACCTCCCTAGATGAGACTATGCCCTTCTGCATAGCCTCGTCTGGGTTCCTTTCTGCCCGTAGGCGGAGAGTTCGGCAAGCACTAAGAGATTAGCGTGCGGTTAAAACCTAATGTTGACTCGGTATTTACCCCAGTTCCCCACAGAGCGGGATGTGGCAAAGGCCGGTTTAACGTGGGATTTTCTGAGCCCGTAGGTCCGGGCAAAAATTCTGCGTAGACCCCGTAATAACGGGGTCGGGTTTGTCTACCTCCCTAAACGAAACTATGCCTTTTGGCATAGCCTCGTCTGGGTTCTTCTCTGCACGAAGGCAGAGAGTTCGGCAAGCACTAAGAGCTTAGCGCGTGGCTAAAACCTATTGCTAATTCGGTATTTTCCCAAGCTTCCCACAAAGAAGGATGTGGCCCAATGCCGGTTTAACGTGGGGTTTTCCGAGCCCATAGGTTCGAGTCGGGTTTGTCTACCTTCCCAGACGAGACTATGCCCTATGGCATAGACACATTTGGGTTCTTCTCTGCCCGAAGGCGGAGAGTTTGACAAGCACGCGGATAAGACCCAATGCTAACTCTCCTCAACTCCACTTATTTACATAAACAGACGATTCCATTCATTTATGTCTAATGTTACACTGATCCCGCTACGCACGCCAAAAATATGTCCATACAACGTGATAAAGCACATTCTTATTAACCATTCAACATTTCAAATAATTTCAAAATAGAATACAAAAGTTAATATTTATATTATTAAAACATATTCTTACTTTTTACGCGAGTTAAAATAATGCTTACTGAGACAGTTTAGTGCATACTACTTCCCGTGAGTATGTAACACTACACAGCAGCTTACGGAATTAAAAAAAAATTTCAAGTCTTCCGCGAAATAGGAATGTAAAGCATATTTTATTAAGCTTATCTCTTTATAATTGATATCATTATTATTTCCATTAGACACTTTATTTTTTGTATTTTCTCAGGGGGATCAATTTACAATAATTTTATATAGCAAACAGAACCCCCTTTTAAAATTTAGATAATATTTTCTTTTTCTTTTTGCATATTTGGGATCTGGAGTGCTTCATCGGTAATAATATGAAAAAAATTTAAATAAATGACTATTTCTTTGAGAGGTGCGTTTCTCTTGATCAATATAAGGTATTCAGTACGGGGTTCAGAATTAATTTCAACTCGGAATTGATTTCAACTCAGAAATGATTTCAAGTAGGAACTAAGGGTTAGGGTTTTTAAGTCGAGTTGAAATTAATTTCGAGTTGAAATTTGTTCCGAGTTGAAATTAGTTCTGTCACTCTTCCCTACTAGTAATCAAGTAACAATCCGAATTTAAAATGCTATTTTTGATAAGTACACTTTCCCAGTCGATATGCAGGTTGTTGAAGAGAAAAGCAGAAGTGGCTGAGTTCAAATTTCATCCTAGTCTGTTTTCACGTTTATATGCTTTTAGGAAAGCTATTAATCTATCTCTTTGCCTCCATGAAACACAAGTTAAGGGTTAAATAACAGTGTAGACTTGGCTCTCTAGCCTTGCATGGCAGCCAGTTTAGAAAAAGGACAATAAGAAACTAATCCACTGTCTTCCCCAAGAAGTCATGGCAATTTACATAAAATAAAGGAAATAAATCCTTATAAAACCTTGACCAAAGACATTCTCAAGAGACATAGCGTTATTTCTTTTCATATTTCCTATACTATAATAGGCGGTTTAATTTGCTATCTAAAATTATTGTAAATTGATCCCCTTACGCAAATGATACAATCATACCACATATTGTTATTAACCTCTGAAATTGGTTGGATGATTTTGTTTAGCGGTTTATCGACATCTCTATGGGTTATTTGATGCCGAAATATAAATATTTTGAACGCAATTGTATGCCTTCTAAAATATATTGTTAGTCATTTTGCTTTAAATTTATATTGTTGGCCATTTTACTATAAATATGAATTCTGGATTGTTTTTACTATAAATATGTATAAATATTTACTATAAATATAAATAAATTACTATAAATATTGTTGGTCACTTTACTATAAATTAGTATTGTTGGTCAATTTACTATGAATATATATTGTCGGTAATTTTTTATATTAAAAAAATGTATTTTTGGTATTTTTACTTTCATAGTGTTTTGTTTTTGTTTGGGGCTTCACTATTTGCCTATAGCTGTGACCATAACTTGTGCGACCCCACCCCCTCCGGGCCGGGATAAACCTGATATCAACAGCAATTATGAGGTGGTTCTACGCTCCTCAAAATATCCAATCTCCATATCAGAGTTCTTGCTGCCAGATGTAGTTTATCGTCGTACCCAGGACTAACCTCTGAAATAATTTCAGAAGAACTTGCAGTAACATCGGTCATCCGGAAAGGATTGTAAATTTGACTCTCGGTTCGAACGATTCAACTGCGGTTGATATTTACTAACTTTAATTTTTTCTGCACAATTTAACAAATGAATAGCACGCAATAAAGAACAGAGATCATGGATTTTGTGACTCGCTCTACAGTAGGTAACCCCATTGCTTTCCTGAAAAATGAACATACCATCAGGAAAAAAATGACCCAAACTTAAGTGTTCAGGGTAAGAGGATAAACTACATCCGCGTCCAGGGTAAGACGATAAACTACATCCAATAGCAAGGTCTCTGATTAGGAGTTTTTGAGAACGACCTCTTAATTGCTGGTGTTCTCAGATCCACGTGTCAGGGTCCCATCTATGGGCAAATAATTAACTCCCAAACTGGAATCAAAGCACTAAGAAAGTGAAAAAAAAAAAAAGGTTTTAATACGAGCAATACATTTTTGTAAAAGGTTATTACGATCAATGAATTTTTGAAGAAAAAATTATTACCAGCAATACATTTTTGGAAGAAAAAATATTACCATCATTACATTTCTGAAAAACAAATATTACCAGCAATAAGTCTTGTAGGCATTAAATAACCCATTCAGGTTGATATGCTGTAAAACAAACCAAACCCAAACGTAATAAAAACGAAGTATTATCGTCGAAATGTTTATACTCTTATTAAGAGGAAAGACCAAAGGATATTTTCGATTGTTAAATTATATTATTTACCTTTTTAGAACGGTCGAAATTTGGTCTAAAAATCCTGTTTTTCTTGCGTCAGTAGGAGGACCAAAGATTAATACAAAATATTTTAGCGTCATTTGTTGACAGGAGAGGAGTGGGGCCTGGTCTTTATGACGCTGAAGAACAATGTCCAATTCTTAGTGTTAGCATAGAATTGGACTACGTCTGTTTTTCCAACAAGCGGCTTGGGTGGCTCGGGCACGGCACCGGAAGTGCATGAAGCGGCTCGCTTTGAGGTTGAGGAAATGTCATTGTTCTTGACTGTAAACGCCATCTGCTTCTCATCCAAGAGCTGTGTGATAGCTTTATCATTTTCATCGAACGAATTTGATGCAATGAAGACTTTGTGCCTAGTGTCGACTAGGATACCTCTTTCATTATTGTGCTGAACTGGTCCCATTGTTAAGTCGAATTTCTATTGAGTGGTCCATGTATGGTCAGTTTTCACCCAGACTGCCCACAAAAAGCTGGGTGATAGCTTCATTCTCATCGAACCAATTTGGTGCAATCTCTACTTTAGGCCTAGTGTCGACTGGGATGCCTCTTTCACCATCGTGCTGAGCTGGTCCCATTGTTAAGTCAGATCTCTATTGAGTGGTTCATGTATGGTCAGCTTTTCACCCAGACTGCCCACAATGTGGACTCGGTGACTTGGATGTTTTTGTGTTTGGCGATGTTGAATGATGGACGGATTTTTTTTCTGATGCGTGGGGGCAATAGCGAGCTTAACGACCGACCTTACAAGACGATGGCCTGTCCAGTACTTTGCTTCTTGCATGGCCCTAATAGTCCTGAAGTATTTAGCACCAAGTCTGCGACAGATAACATAGTCAATTAAGTGCTTGGACTTCGGATGTATCCAAGTTGATTTGTACTTATCATTTTACCTAAAGAGGGTCTTGGTAAATTTCAAGTTATTTTACGATGAAGGCTGTACTCCACCCCCGGGTCTTGTTGAAGTTTCTCTGTCAGTAAGTTTTCGGATGCTTCATGCTCCTAAGACCATCTTTTTGCTTTTCTTTGTTTTTCCACCACAGGAAAGGTAAAACTGTCAGCTATGGTACGGTTTTCTAGTCTTCCATTTCATATGAGGATTAGCAGTGCTTTCCTAGACAGAGTCACTCAGTCACCTGGGAAAACGCCTAAATCCTACGTTGTTGAGGAAAGAGAGCGGCTCTTTCGCCTTCGTGCAACTTCCAGTGGATACATCCACCTGTTGCTTCACCTTTCTCCATCCCAACTGTGCTTTGATGATAGCGGGATACAGAAGAAGTATTGAGACGTTTAGAAAAGTTGCACAAATAGACCTGCGTGGGAGTTTATTTCTAGTGCTGATGCAGAAAAGCGTTAAACGTACAAAAGGAATACACACATACCGGCCACTTAATTAAGTACACAGGTGTCTTTTTTATAATATAAATTCTTTATTCCCCCAAGAAAATCTTTAATTACATAATTTCAATTCCCGATGACAATGTTCGGTTTTAGGCCTACGGTGACAATCTTTTAAGTTTTGTCATCTTTAACGAGCAGGTGTTTACACAGGCATTATGGCGCTCGAAATGTTTTGCAAATAGAAAAGATTAGCGCCTTCGTATCGCAATCAAATTTTGTTTCTTATCGCAATCATCTAGGATCCTTCAGAAACTAGGACAAGGAGATCCGAGTATAAAATGTTAAAAAAATAAAATATTTTTGATGGTGGTTTGCGATAAAGAGGAACAAAGTCCAAAAAGACATTACAGTTAGATCAAAAACAAACAAACAAACCTGTTTTTCATTATGTCATATTCCAATGATCCTAGTGAAATCTAGCACGAATAATTCATCACTTTCTGTAAACCTATATATATATATATATATATATATATATATATATATATATATATATATATATATATGGATTAACTTTTCAGTCGCTGTTTTTTTTTTTTTGTACCAGAAATTTAAGGTACTGGACGATTTCTTTCGCCCTGTTCGAAGGTTTCTGGTTCTTTCTTTTATCCAATTTTTACTCGGATGCCAGTTTATTTGAAAATTGTGCTATCCAGGTTTTTTCACCCACCGAGTTTAAATAGATTTACATTATATATATATATATATATATATATATATATATATATATATATATATATATATATATATGAAAAAATAAAAAAACAAATCTTAGATTTTGCTGAAGTCTTTCGTCTTCCGACTTTTTCAAGGCAAAAATGAAATCGAAATGTCTGTTATGGTTACATTAAAAAAAATCCAAATTTAAAAAGATATATTTGTGTATTTGGGTAGCAATCTATCTTTATACGTGTTTCATTAAAGACGATTGAAAAGTTTCTGCAATTAAGCATTTTATTCAATCACATAAGTTCTTTTTTTTTTCTGGACATGACGTGTGTAAAATCTGTCCGAATGTTCTCTATATATGACCGATTTCGGCTATTCTATTAGGGATTATCAAGGATGTTTTTTTATTTTTTTAAATTTTTAACTGAATGTTTAGATTTTTATATATCTTTCTAGAGTGATGGGAATGTTTTTATTTATTCTCCAAACACGATCAGCACACTGTGGTCATGTTAATAGTTGATATTGTTGAGTGTTGGCTTTTTCTTTTTTATTATTTATAATGTTTTTACATGTGGATGAGGCTATTGTAATAATGTGTTTATTTATTGATTTGCATCTTATTTGTTTAGCTTAAAATATTGGCTTTGTCTAAAGTATGTTGCATTATCTGTGTTGTATGTAGTTCATACGAGTTTTGTAATCTTTAACTAACAGGTATTTAGACAGGCATTATGGGGTTCTAATTGTTTTGCAAATAGAAAACCTTTGCCGCTTTTTTATATTTTGCGTCTTCATATCGCAAGCAAATTCCGGCTTATTTTACTATTTGAAACGGAAGTTCATTCTAAGGGTATCAAATTATCTTAACACGATTAAACTATACTTGGGATATTTCATGAACACACACACACACACTCTTTGGATCACATAGCCCAGAGCAGATAGACAAAACCAAAAAGTACATTCGAAGCGTATCAATTAATCTAAAGCGACTAATTTACATCGGGAATATTTCGGCAACTAAGACAAAGAGAACCGAGTACATGTCAGTAAAATAAACAAAGGAAAATTAAATTTGAATACGAAGCCGAAATTTATAACAGAAAACTCATTCCATTACATTTAGACCAGAAACAAACTTTTTTTTCAGTCCTTCTGTCTTTCTCCAAGGATTCTAGTGCAATCTAGCAAGAATACTTCATCACTGCCTGCAAACCCATATATATGTAAATACTCATTTGCCATTTAATTAAGTACACGAAAATGAATGCTTTTCCGTGCCAATTTCTCATCAGACAATGTCGTGGCAGCAATTTGATGGAAGTCGACATTTAAACATTGATTGAGGGACTGCTGAATTTCATTTCACGCAATATACAGGACAGATTACTTGTGCCTTCAATAGTTGCATGGTAGTTCCAGATGGTAAAACACAGACACACATACATATATATATGTCCAGGTAAAATGGTTGCCAATCTACGGGTCATGAACCATTTATGAAAAATAATTTCTTAATTTTTGCTTCTTCGCTTAGATTAAATTTAACGTAGTTCATATTCGATTGGTTGATCTAAGTAAAGTCCACAGACCTTATAGCCCCACTTTTTTCTTTTTTTCCGTAAAAAGATGTATTTTACTTTTAAATCTAAACAAATCTTTCCCTCGCCAGTAATTTACAATCACCTGATGAGATGCATTTGATATGCATTGAAACACGACTGCAATTGTGTAGCGATTTTGACATGTTTTCGATGTAATATCCTAATCTATCTATCTATCTTGACCGGGCGATAAGGAAAGCCTATCTACTCATATTACAAAAAAAAAAAAAAACAGCCCAAGGGTTTGACTTCTAGTTATTTTAAAGAATGAACATTCAGATAACTTATTTGGAGAATCGATCTGCGACCTACAGAGCTTTTTGACAATGCGATGTTTAACTGACATTCTAGTATATTAGTGGGGAGAGGAGGTAATAAGTAATAGGGGGTCTGTCTCTAGAATCTTACGGGAGACGCTTCAATTGATTTTTTTTTCCAATATTTAAATTTGACCGTTTATGGAAAAAAATCAGACTGACTTGATTTCAATGGTGCTTTGTTACAATTACGGCGACTTTGAAGTGAATTTTTCTGATTTCCTCGGCCGAAAGCATACGATTATCTCTCAGTTGGGACGGGTGGTGATCGTACGGACGAGAGTGAAGGGTCGATTTTCTTAATCTACCTACTTTTTTTCGGCTTCTGTCAAAGGAATTCGAGTTCTTCCCAGATACCAAAAACAACCAATCAACAGACGAATGGCAGTTGAAATAATAGATATATGGACACACAACTGAATGAAGTAATTTAAAACACAAATTTATTAAGTTTTAACTTATAAGTCCTAATATCTACTTTGTTGGGAAGACGTTAAGGTATAAATTCTCATTTAGTATACCACTCAGGGATAGACTCTTTTCAAAATGAAATATTGAGAATTAACATTAAATGAAGGTACAAGCACTTTATGCAGACATGCCCAGAGGCATATATATATATATATATATATATATATATATATATATATATATATATATATATATATAGTGTATTCAGGCATCATTTTTTTCATTGATGCATGTTTCATTAAATAATGCAGACAATTTTTGTCTATTTTATGTCAATTCTTTTCATATCGTTAAACGAAGAAAAATCACAATATTGATACATATTTTTTAACCTTAAGCTTTCGGCTTAAATAAGCCATTATCAAAGATGACAATTATATTACAATATATTAACCAATACACGGACAAAACAATAATGTAGTCTGTTTATGTTTACAGGAAAGATTTCCAAGCAACGACAAACTCGTGCATACGAGACACTGGAAGCGAAAATCGCACTGCTGCTCATGACGTCACACATGACCACGCGAGAATGATAACGAGAAGTATTAAATATGGGAAGCCGTTGGTATAAAGCAATGGCCTCTGTTATAAAATTATAGGCATTTAAAAATATTTGTGGAGATTTCATAGTTTATTTTGTTCAGGTTAGGTTTCAACTGTTTTATTTATATAGCTTCAAGAATTTTTAGTTTTTGTTTATTGTTTTCATGTTTAAGTATAGTTGTGTTTTCAACGAGGATTTTCCGACAATTGCGGCCCGGCATGTTGTTTTAAATCCCTAAAAATGTTAGAGTTATCATTCAAATGTAGTGTCAAGCGTCGTGAAAGCGTGTTTGTGGTGTGACCGACATAAATATTATTTAATCCGTTGGAGATACAATCTCCCAAAGGTCAGTTGAATTTGTAAACTATGTTGGTTTTGTGCAAATCGCTAACGTGGGGAGAAGAATCATTGCGAATAATTGAAATCCGTGGTTAAATCCAATAATTAATATAAAATATTAAAAGCGATCCAGAAAAGAGAGCTCAATACAATTTTTATTTTAGAGAATATAAATAAATTAAAATTAATGAGATACAGACGTTTTACCTCATACAGATGATCATTTCGTCCAAGGGAAAGTAGTTTTTCCGACTCCACCACAACTACGAGGAGGCACGGTGGAGTAAAGGATAGCGGCTTGGATTGAGGAATCGGACAGCCGAGTTCGAATTCCAGTCGAATCTATTACATTCACTTACGTGCTAATACCCTTGGGAAAGGTGTGAATGGCAAACAAGAAGGAAAACTCTGAATTCAAAACCTGCGGAGGTCGTTTGGTCGTAGTGCACCAGGTCTCTGTAATCGGCCCTTCAAAAAGTTCTGCACGAAATCTTCACCACTATAATCAAATCTCATGTGCTATACATGTGGGTTGTGAATTCCAAATTCCCATGAAACTCCTCGGGTGAACGCCGTTACAGGTACAGGTACACCATAACCACATTAGATCCCTTAAGCCTCTTTATCTATATAACTTCCTCCTCTATTATAGGCCAATACTTACTCCCACCTCCTTTTATTCTTTCCTTCCTTTGCCTTTCAAATTTCCTGTGAAGAAAAGTTTTATTCATTTTAGTAAATGTATTAGTAAGTTCGGGGAAAACTACTTTCCGATGGGCGAAATGATCATCTGTATGAGGTAGAGTTTGGATATCATTAATTATAATTTACACACACACATATATATATATTTATATATAATTATGTTTTTTATTATAATAAACTATTATAAAATATTATAATAAAAATAAAAATATAATAATTTGGTCTAGATTGTATTGAGCCCGTTTTTAAAAAAGTAAATGCTAAGAACTTTGGTTTCTTAAACTGTTATTTCTCTTTATTTGTGTATTTATATATATAATATTAGTGGTCAATATATATATATATATATATATATATATATATATATATATATATATATATGTGTGTGTGTGTGTGTCTAAATAGGAAAGAACACGTTAGGTAAATAATCCAGGAATCTTTAGTATTTTTGTTTTTATTATTTAAAAAAAAACAAAAAACAGTGCTCCATACAGCAGTAGAGCTTAGATTATAATTATTTATGGGGATAAAATGGTCGCCCCAGCCGTTTCCATAGTAACGAATGAACACGCTTATAACGATACGTAAATTTCAAAATTGGTTATTCCTGAATTTTCGCTTGAGGATAAAACAGGGCTTAATAATTATAATGATGGTTTCGGCTCTCATTTTTGAAATTTGAGAACTCTTATGTAGCGAAAGAATCATATTCTTAAAATAATAATTTAAAAAAATTATAATATATATATATATATATATATATATATATATATATATATATATATATATATTCCTAGAGGGTAGAATCTAGGTAGAATAGAACTCAATGTCCAGGACAGAGTTTTACTTATTAAATAATGTCAAAGTTTATTTCATTTTTTTATTTTATGATTCGGAGCAGATTTTCGGGAAATGAGTAGTAGTTTGAAAAAAAATAATTAATGATTTACATTCTTCAAGGAGTTCTGCTTTTAACTAATACAATTTAATTTCTCGAAAATCAATGAAATGAAGTATATAGAGGGGATATCATATGGAAAAATATTTTTACCAAGATTTTCTAAAAAAAAAAAAAAAAAAAGAAATTCAAAAATAAACTCATTCATTTGTCAATGTTTGAAAGTTTCGTTAAAATCCGACAATTATTTCATTTTTGCAAGAATTTCTAAATCAATGTGTTTTTTACCTGAAAAAACGCGCTAAAAATATTACGTCGTTCAAAAAAATATTACGTCGACCAAAAAAATATTACGCAAAAAAAAGAAAGATTTTTAACCAAAATTTCGAACGTGGTAGAAAGGATTAAAACATTAACTGAAAAATACTTTCGTCTTTCCTCTTACTGATAACAGATATTTTGAAGATAAAACCTTGTTTTTATTAAGATTGGAGCCTTTTTTTCATCATGCCATACTCATTTTTTTCAGCGAAAAAGTGGAGGTACATAATAAAAATCAAATAGAATAAAAATACATAAAAATAAGTTATACAAAACTACATAAGAACCGTTGTAAAAATACCCGAAAAATACTACGTATATCTTTTTCTTGTGCTGTGTCTCCTCAGAATGTAGTCTATCATGACTCCATAATTTCCTGTACTTTGTAGCTCTTAATAAAGTTTATCTTTTTCTTATCTTTTTGTTATCTCTCTTAAACCCTTTTCCGCCACCCATATACTCGCTAGTTAGGTTGTGCATTGTTTTCTCTCTCTTGCCTTCAATCTGTCTTGTGAGTATCAAATTTTCCAAGCCCTCTTCGTTATGTGTTCTAGAAATTTCAGCTATCTCTTCCTGATGTTAGATGTAAGTTTCCTTCTTGTTTCCATTTTCTCTAGAACTTTATCGTTGCTCACATGTTCAGCCCATGGTATCCTCAGCATCCTTCTGTAGAACCACATTTCTGTTGCTTCCAATTTCTTCTTCATCTTTTAGGATATTGCATTCATTGCCATATAAGAGGATTGATATCACATAAGATTTTAGTACTCTTTTCTTAGTTTGTAACGAAGTTTTCTTGCTTCTTAGTACCCTGCTGAGCTTTTAAAACTCATCCATGGCTATCCCTGTGAGCTTTTAGATTTCAGTTGTCGCCCTTTTCCGTCCTCTGTTAAAACATTTCCCAGATATTTAAAATTGTTTACATGTTTGATTGTTTTTCTTAATGTGTCTTATTTGTTTTGTAAATAATTCTTGTAATTTTGTCTTTTCTATCGGCGTATAGGGACATTTAAATGTAACTCGATTATTCTAAAATCGAGTCATAAATCATTTACTGTATTTAAAAATAAATCTTGAAGCCTTGTTTAACGAAGTAGAAAATTTGATAACTCAAGCGAATGCTATTAAGTTCGCCAACATCAAAAGATGTTAAAGAAAAACACAAATTCCACAAGACAGACATAACGAGAATTTGGTTGTAGAATCACCAGGGCATCAATTTCAATAGAAAGAAAGAAATTAGAAAAAAAGAGTACCAAAGTCATTCCTGTCTGAATATTTAGTTGACGTGTTGTCACTTTATATATATATTTTTAATTCTAATTTCCTTGTCTTATTTTTTTCATCACATCGCTGTACTCACTGAGTGTTTGTATTTTGAAAATGGTGAACTTTGTTTGGAAGAGACATACCTTGCATCCGGTGCCTGTTCTTGTGATCTCCTAGAGTTATCTTTTCCTGATATACTCACAGAAGCTGTGACCGTCGAGCGAACTTGGAGAATTGCACAAGCACTCGTTATGTTACTGCAACTCCAAATTCCTCGTTTGTTCTTGTTTGGATTGGTGGCTCCACAGCTGTAGATAAAGACAAAACTCACCCTGGCACAACGTACACTCATCCAAATGTATAGGAAAAATGTTTCATTCAGATATCTAAATGCCTGCCATATTTTAGAGGTAGACATTTTGCAAGATCATAATATGACAAGTACGGAATATTCAGTGAGCATCGAACTCACTACTCTAACTGATTATCAACCCACCTGAAGTACATTATAGATAAAACATTATACGAAATTAAAAAAAAAATAATTGTATTTTTTTAAAACAATAGTCAACATGATTTTTGGTGCCAAGAAACAACCCCACTTTTTTTAGCTAATTTGATGGTGCTGATTCCGAAAATGACCTCTAGTTTTTCATGGTTAGTTACCATTTTTACTGTACTGTATTTGCACATTTTTTGAAAAAAGATCAATTTACGATTTTGGCTGATCGCAATATTTAGTTAATAAAGATTATAAAAACCCGTCAATTTTCACTTAATCCGAACAATTAATGACAGCAACTGAAATAAACTATTTTTTATAAGAAAAAAGTGTTTTTGAGTCAAATATTTTAAAATAGAAGTACCGAATTTTCCAATTTACCGTCAAAATTCAAATTAACTGATAAACTTCATCAGTAATACACTTTAGTAAACCTGATAATTAAGGTGGCATAAAAAAATGAAACCCTAAATTCTTTTGTTTGATATTCATAAATTTATCCCATCACTTTTATCTCTTCACATTTGGAAAGAAACTCCAACTAAAGACATTCCAAATGAATGCACCTATTTCACTGGACATGATACTGCTGAAATTCCAAAAGAGACTTTAATACCATTGAACGTAACAGACAATGAAGAAAGAAAAAATTTTTACCATAGTTCTTATGTTCACGAAGGTTTTATTCCTGCTTCTATTTTATTAAATTATTTGATGAAAAAACTTGTTTGTCTTGGTATATTCAATCGTGTTATTTTTAAAGACTTAGGGTTTGATTGTTATTGCAGAAATAGTATTTCTCAATAAGCAGACCAATATTTGTTGGTTTAAATACGAATTGAGAGATTTCTACGATTTTATTTTGAGAAATATTGCCATCGGTCAATATACATACAGAAAAATGCAAAAATGCTTTTTTCCCCTCAAAATGAGGCATTTCTGTACAGCAAAAACGGTAGCTAACTAAGAAAAACTAAGGTCATTTTCAGGTCCAGTGCCCTCAAATTAGCTAAAAAAGATGTTTGGTGTCTCGACACCATTTCATTTTTTTTGTTGACCAGTGTAATTACACAATGTAAATGAAAGTGTGGCCCTACAGAAGGATGTTGAGAATACTATGGACTTTACATGAGCGACGATGTTTGAAAGAAAACGGAAAAAAGTACGGTTATACATAGTATCAGCAAGAGAGAGTTGTTCTAGAAAACTAAATGAGGAAAGAGGGCTTGGAGAATTTGACTCTCACAAGACATACTGAAGGCAACAGAAACAAAGGGAAACAGTAACATACCTAATAAGCGTGTAAATAGATAGCAGAACAGAGAATGGGAGATATGGGGAAAAGAAAAAAAACATGCTAAGTGCTGCAAATGCTAGGAAGTTGTGGAGAGTCATGATTCCCCCACATTCTGAAAAAGAAGATTCTGTTATCTAGTTCTACTACGTCGCCAGAAGATTCCAAAGCTAGATGAAGTGAACTTTTCTGATGATGTAAAAAAATCATAAATATTCATACAGCATTTTGTGTATGTGGACGAAGTTCCGCTCCAGTTTTGAGAAGCAACACAAAAATCAAATTCCTTTATTCTTCAGTTTTAAAATTTCTTTTTCTTATGCACACTTACATCCCAAGGGTAGAAATTTGGTGTTTTCGTCATTCTAACAGACTAGCATCCATCTTGGTTTTTCTTTAACAGCTTTCTAGCATTCTAAACCTTTTCTTTTAATCTTTGTTACTACCTTACTTTCTTTTTCCTCATTTCTTTCTTTTTCTTTACCCCTCTTTTCTTTTGACATCTGCACTCGCTTAGTTAAGCTCTTTTTTTTTTTCGTTTTTTTTTCACTTTCTCATTTCTCTAATTCCTTTGTTTTCTTTCTTTCTTTCTTTCTTTCTTCTGGCATACTAAAACTATCATCTTTTCTTTCAATTTGTCGCCCTTTCTTTCTTTTTTTTGATATCTACACCGGGTTATTAAAGTTCATTCTTTTAAGTTTTCTTTTTTCTTTACCTTTTCCCTCTCCTGTGTCTAGTTCATTTGTTTTCGTTCTTTCTTTTAAAACTATTCTCCTTTCTTTACATTTTCCATCTCCAGTCTCTAAAGCTTTCTTTCTTTCTTTCTTTTACATTTTTCCACTCTTCTCTCTACTTTGTTTGTTTGTTTGTTTGTTTCTTTTTGCGTAGGTGGCTAATAAAGACCAAAATAATTTACCCGAAGTGGTTGTGTAAATATAAGCTATTGGTCCCGACAACATGGCCACCACACACACTTCCTATCGATTGTTTGGATCAGAAAAAGATAGAAGAGGACACATTGAGAAGGGAAGGGGGATGGTTGTAGAAGTGTTCTTACAGTGTGTGTATTTTTGTGTTTGATAATTATATAAGACATGAATATAACAACTAAAATACAGGACAAATGAAACGATCCATCATGAGAGACAAGCATAAAAATAGATAAGACGAGAAACAGTCGATGAATTCTGATCTGGTAGAAAAGTATAGAATGATAGTCATATTAGCTGGACGTTTTTAGATTTGGCACTTTTTTTTCTTTCGACTCATTTCACCCCAAGCAAGGAAATAAAACCACCAATAAGCAAGCTCGTTGCTGAGTGTGAGTGAACAATACAAGAAAAGGAACTATGAAGACAGAAGACAAAGACTGGTATTATATTTAAATTTTTAACGATCAAATTTGACCGGAAAGCAAGACGGAAGAGAGTTTCACAAGCAAGAAGTGAGAGAGAAGAAGCTGTTAGCATAGAACCTGCGGTTACATCTAGCGAATTTCAACTGTAAAGTGATGAGACGTTGATGCAAATCTAGCACTTGGCTTAAATTCGTAAAATCGATGTACCAAATCCAGTAAAGTTTATCAGAAGAATTACCATGAAAATGTTTATAGAAAATGCACAGTAAAGCTACATTACGTCGATGGGAGAATAAGTGAAACAGGGCTGCCAGATTAGGACCGATAACATTGCAGATACTTTTTGAATTTTATCAAGAATCTCTAAAAACATAGCACGAGCACCGAACCTGTAATGTAGGGTTACTGACTCATGGGAAGTAGTATGCACTCAACTGCCTCATGGGTAATAGTCGTAAGTATGTATACTCTTTGTGGCTTCATATGTAAATGTGTCACCTCATGTCCCTGTACCAAACAGGTTTTATTCCCTTATTTTCCCTGGTACTTCTTCTGGGAGCTTTTGTCTTTTCACTATCTTCCTTCCTCTTTCAAAGAGAATGTCGGGATCGTGATCTTTTTCTTAAAGCATCACAAGGTTTTGTCAATTCTTGGTATCGCTCTACATATTGTCTGTAGAAATTTAAAGTCCTAAGAAAGATTCTTTTTGTTCTCTTTAACTTTTAATATTTTGTCTTTTAACAATTGGTCTTGTGATATTCCCTCCTTAAATATGGAATATCCCCAAAATTATGTTTTTATTGTTGCGCAAACATTTTAATTGTTATTGAAGCATTTTTTAATTTATTCAAAACCATATTGGTTTTCCATTTTAATTCTTCGTCGTTAATAGCACCAACAGAAATGTCAACCTGTTAGCCTATTGTATTTTTTTATATGTTTAACAATAACTTTATAGACCTTTGAAAAGTCGTACTTACGGTTTTAATTCCATACGCCATTCTTTTCGATCTTAAGCTTATTGGCGTGTTTATTGTTGTGACTTCTTTAAAGTCTTCGTCAATAGGTATTTGATGGTCTACCGACTTTAGATCAATTTTAGAGAATGTCTTCATACCCACAAAAGATTTCAAAGTCTATTCTACATTGAGGATAGGATATAAGTCTCCACATATTTTGTGGTTTACACCGATTTTGTAGTCATCACAAATGTGCAGACCCCCATCCTTCTTTTTAAAGTTACTAACGGTGAGGCCCATTTTCTCCCTACTGATGGAACTCTTTCAGGTAGATCTTCTTGCAGTAATTGTTTTGCGTTTTTCCACATCTGTTGGTAGTAAATTGACTGGCACTTTTTGTGCTTCAAAATATCAGGGGAGACATTTTCCTTAAGTCTTAACTTTGCTTCATAATTTTTTGAACATTCCACTTCCTTCTGCTTTGACTTTGTTTATTAATTTTGTCGGATTTATGTTCAGCACATCATTTCCTATTAGACGTGATTCTTTTCACAGTTTACCACGATAATTAGTAATACGTCAAGCTTATATTTTAGTTGCACGTAGGACTCAAAATAGCATAAAGTCTTTTTTATCACAGATCCGTCGAACTGATTCAACTGGATATGGATTTTCTTTAATTTTGGTTTTCCTAATTTCTTCCAGAAATTTCTGGGTATCAACGTCAGGTCACTTGCCGTATGTAGATATTATGTCCAATAAAACATTGATTCGAGTTTTTAGTAACACTTTTTTGTTTTATTTTCAATAAAAATACATCCATACTTATTTCCTCTTCATTTTGTTGGACCGTCTCTACGTTTTTCTTTTTGGATTTACACAGACGTTTAAAATGATTTATTTTGAAACACTTTTCATATTTTTTTATATGCCGGAGATTTTTCTTTTTCTCCTTGATGTTGATATCCATAAAAAGTACACATTATTTTATCTTTTTTCTTTAACGCGTATATGTCTATTTCCTGTACCAAATCCGTAATTTTTGTTCTATTAAATTTTCCAATTAAGTCTTGTTGCTGAACAAATTCAACACGGTGTTCTAGTGGCATCTTTCCCAGTTGTAATTACATTAGTGTCATTTTCCGATACTCCTCATTTTGAAGGTCGTTTACCAATTTCATTTGGATCAAATCCTCTTCGATTGACCGGTTTTCCGATTCCAGTTTCTCAAATTCACAATATTTAGCGGCCTGTGTTAAACGAAGAACATATTCGATGATTGGTTCATTCACTTTTTTTGAATAATATTCATAAACTTAGCTGTCTTTGCATTCACTATTTTTTCTTGGGTGTTATGCTTTTCACTATTGGTTGACTTATATCGTCAAATGTCATTTCCTCCAATTGTCTTGACTAGGCAATTAGTGATAGTTTTATAATGGCCTCACAACCAGCATTTGCCAAGAAGAGATCGGTTATCTGGTTTTCTCTTCTGACTGGTTTTAAATCGTTTAGCTTTTTTGTTCTAGATTTAGTTGCTAGTATTCTAAAACACGCTGCTGTCTATATTTCTGAGATGAGATATTATGTACATTATTTACATTATTCAGACTATTGTTCTCATCTTTGTCGCCATATTTATTACAACGTTTCGGCCATTGTACGCTCCGGCATTCTTCAGTATTTGTTTATATTTCTGAGATGAGGTATTATGTACATTATTTACATTATTCGGACTATTGTCCTCATCTTTGTCGCCATATTTATTACAACGTTTCGGCCGTTGTACACTCCGGCCTTTTAAGGTGGTTAGAATGTCGAACTGAACCCTTTATTTCGCTCACTGGGGTAGACTGTTCTAATTCCACGTGCCATGTTTAATGGATGTCAGTTATCAATTATCTTATGTTAATTTCCCTCTGAACGTTCTCCACTGCCTTAACCGGGTATTGAACTCACACTCTTTGGGTCCTGTCACTGGATCTAACACTGGAGAACTTTTTTGTTTTGTTTTGTTTGTTTGTTTCTTTCTTTCTCCCTCTTTTCTTTTGACATCTGCGCTCACGTTCATTGTTTTTGTTTTATTTTCGCTTTTTTACTTTCTAATCTTATCTGTCTCCTATCTCTAATTCCTTTGTTTTTCTTTATTTTGACATAATAAAAGTATTCTCTTTTCTTTCAATTTGTCACTTTTTTTTTTTTTTTTTTTTTTTTTTTTTACATCGGCACTGGGCTATTAAAAGTTCATTCTTTTTGGTTTTCTTCTTTTTTCTTTACATTTTCCCTCTCCTTTCTCTAAATCTTTCTTTCTCTTCTAAAACTATTCTCCTTTCTTTACATTTTCCCTCTCCAGTCTCTAAATCTTTCTTTCTTTCATCTCCTGACATAATAAAACCACACTCTTTTCTTTACCTTTTCCCTCTCCTGTGTCTAATTCCTTTGTTTTCTTTCTTTCTTTACATTTTTCCACTCTTCTCTACTTTGTTTGTTTGTTTCTTTCTGCGTAGGTGGCTAATAAAGACCAAAATAATTTACCCGAAGTGGTTGTGTAAATATAAGCTATTGGTCCCGACAACATGGCCACCACACACACTTCCTATCGATTGTTTGGATCAGAAAAAGATAGAAGAGGACACATCGAGAAGGGAAGGGGGATGGTTGTAGAAGTGTTCTTACAGTGTGTGTATTTTTGTGTTTGATAATTATATAAGACATGAATATAACAACTAAAATACAGGACAAATGAAACGATCCATCATGAGAGACAAGCATAAAAATAGATAAGACTGGAAACAGTCGATGAATTCTGATCTGGGAGAAAAGTACAGAGGGATAGTCAAAGTGAAGCTACATTATGGCGGTAGGAGAGTGACTGAAACAGGGATACCAGGTTAGGACCAATAACATTGCAGATTCTTCGAACTTTATGAAGAATCTAAAAAAGCATAGTAGAAGCCCCTAACCATAAGTTACAATAATATTCATAAACATATCTATATCTATCTATAAAAAAGAGATATTTTTAATACGTAGCTATTTTAGTATTCTAAAACTCTTTTAAGATAATTTCACTCCAAGCAAGGCGATAAAAGCCACTTAAATATAAGCGGTTAGTGAGGGGGAAAGAAGCAGAAAAAGCAATAAAAGAACCTAATTTAAAGACAGAAGGTGATCATTAACGCTGCATTTAAATTTTTGAAGATCATATTTGACAGGAAATCAAGAACCGGAAGAGAGTTCCACAAGTGAGAAGTGCGAATAAAGAAACTATTAGCATAAAACTTTCGGTTACAGCTATCAATTTCCATATTGAAATTATGAGGCCATTCAGCCAATCCAGTACTGAACTTAAATTCTTAGTTGAAGTTGAGTTAGCAATGAGGAAAGCTCAGAACAATTACCATGAAAATATAAAGAAGGCACTAGAAAGCTATGTTAAGGCGGCGGAAAATGTAAATGAAGCCAAGATCCCGGGATAAGACGAAGGCCTAGGGTATATTTACACCGCCGTAACATAGCTTCATTGCCGTGAAAATAAAGAGAAGGCACTGGAAAGCTATGTTAAGGCGGAG